ATTTCTTCCCCTCATTCTTTGCCAAGAGGCTGTCCTATAGTTGTTGGTCTGCCAGTTCCCCTTGATTTCCTACATACTGACCAGATGCTAGGTCAGGTGAGAGCCACTTACCACACATTAGAATTTCTGATTCCTTCTGCTAATTCACAAAACCAAGGCAAAAATCAGAGCCAAGAAAGGCAGTTTGTTTTGATAATTCCTTCTGGCTCAAGTATGAGTAATTCTCCTCAATTGTAGATGAAATGTTTTATCCTAATTTTCACTACAGAGTGAACTTAACTTTCATGCATATCCTTTACCCAGAACCCAGGGCATTGTCCCTGACAGGGTGCCTCCCAGAATCCTGATGGTGCTTAAAGTAGGGTCTTAGACCTCCTTCAAATCTCAAATTTCCCATATAATAATTTTTAGAGAAACATGCCTTCAGAAGTGTAAATGAGTCTCAATTTGGCTTTTTTTTTTAAACTATATTAACCCCTTTGCCTATAGTATATCTGAAGTTCTCAGTTACCTGTCAACACTGGACCATTTTATCAAAAGGTACATCACCAGGGTAGGGAACCCCTCAGGTATTCAGAATCTCCTCTTGGGCCATCGGTTTTGACCCCTAGTGTTTTCAGTACCAAGAAGAGTCACTTCCTTTGTGCAGTCACTTGGGTTAGAAGGACCTGTGGAATTCAGATTCTACTATATGACCTCTCTATTCACTGGGACTGCTTTGTTGTTAGATCTCCCTTAAGGTAGTCATCTAGTGATTCTCAGTATTGATGTCAGCCAGAGCATGTCTGCAAATAGGAAGAAACTTTTATGTTTCTATTTAGAATCTAAAAGTCCTTAGTAAACACTAGTAGCCCTTTGTGACTTTAACTATTCGGTTGAATTCGTTCAACATTTATTGAGTACCTACCATGTGCTGGGCAATGATGTTCCAAAGATAAGTAAGAGGCACAATTTACCGTGTAGTAACTAATAGTTTGATGTACAGATACACACGAGCAGATAATTTTAGTGTATAATATGGCAGGTGATGAGATGGAAGTGTATACAGATTCCAAATTCCATTTGGCCACCATATTTACAACTAAATATTCTCTCCTTCTGCAGTCCTTCTCTGAAACAACAGTCTGCTCAGTTTGTATCTTGTACAGACTGTTTCCCTGAGATCTCTAGGGCCTCTTCCTGGTCTTCTCCACACTTTCATAAAACTCTAATGTTTGGCTAAAATTAGCCTTATGTGAAAAAATTTAGCTTTAACCTTGTAATGTCAATAGTTGTTTTTCCTTTGACCTCACTTCTTCCATTACTTTTGGCTCAGTTACATTATCATCTACTCAGTAGTTGACAACAGCAACTCTTCTGTCTTTGGAAAAACTATATGGAGTTGACCAGTATGATTACTTATGGAAAATTTTAATGTTCCTCAAAGTTGTTTCCAGTTACTTCTTCCTTCCTGGTAGTGAAACTTTAAGCATCCTATACTTTCCAGCCTTGTTCTCCAGTGGAGAGAATAAAGGAAGAGCACAAACATTAGTTTAAGGCTTACCTTGTACCTGACAAAATGCTAGGTATGTTTCACTTCTAATTCTTACAACCTCTCCATGAGATAGATAAGGTAAGATGAATAACAAACTCTCAAATATTAACTGGCTCATGGTCACACATTTAGTAAGTAGTAGAACTGGCATTTGATCTTTTAGTCTTTCTTATTAAAGGAACCTACATCCTCACAGATCTTCTCCTGTAGCTGGAAGTCTACAGAATGGATCATGCAACAAAATTTTCTTGGGATGTGTTAGAACTCTTTTGTTTGTAAAAGAATGAATGTACACTAATTTAGGCAAAAAAGACAATTTATTAGTTCATGCAACTGAAAATTTTAAAAGACCCGGCTATTAAATATTAGCTATATCCAGGGGCTTAGACAATGTCATCATGACTCTGTATCTCTCTCATGAGCGCTCTTTGGTGGCAAGATGTCTACAGAAAGCCCAAGGTATTAATCCCAATGGAAAAATATAGTCAATTCCAGAGCTCTAACAGAAAGACTCTATCAAAGACTGATGGGCTAAGTCATGTGTCTTCCCTTTTATAGGCCCCTACTGAACTGAGTAGAATGGGTTCCCCTGAAGGAAGAGGAGTTCTGTTATCAGAAGATAGGGAAGGGATGCTGTGCAGGAAAAAAAGCTACTGATGTCCACCTTAGACAGGGGTTTAACGTTCTAAATCTAAAGTTTCAAACCAGCAGCTTATAGATGAATGTAACCCAGAGGGACAGTTTGTTCAGCCTACACAATGTTCTGAAGAAAATTTGAGTAAAATGTTCTCAGGGGATTTCGCTTAAAAATGTAGATTTCTTGACCTCTCTTAAAAAATCAGAAGATGCGGCAATACTGGGCCAAATTCCCACGTTGTGCTGACTGGCTGGAGCTGAGCAGTGGCTCCCTTCTTTGGGTGCTCACTCACCAGTCTACTTGATTCATTCCCAGTAACTGTCAAGAACTTCTGGGCATTCAAGCATGTGACCTTTGCTCTAAGTAGTGCAAGTTTTTCATGTGAAGTAAATTGGGTTCTATTTCAGCTGTAATTGTAAGTTCTGCTTGAATCTTGGCTGACTTAATTTTGTACTGAAACTTGCTATTTTTGTATAGTCATTGCCAAAAAATTATATTAAGAATAATAATTAGTTACATGGAATTACAGAGTAAGTAGTTATTGAGGCAGCCTAGATTTGTATGTATGTGTGTGTGGAAGAATGTTCTCTGGAGCTGGCAGCCGACAAGATTCTTGCAAGCACCCCACCAATTCATTGCAGCCAGTTGCACATTGAAATTTGAACTTCTTGCATCCTGTAAAAATGTACATCTGTACTTTCCCATAGGGAAGTAGCAACCCATAGCTAGAAGAAAACAAAGCTTTTGCATTCTTTGAAGATTTCTGGCCACCTGCATTTTGATATTGCAGAAGTGGTATTACAAAGGCTGTGCACAGTGTCTTTGCACTTTATGTTCACTGGACACATCTTTTGTAGTTTTTTCTTTGGTGATAAATTATGTAAATTGAGTAGGTAAGTGGGAGAGAAAGGAGAAAATAGAACAATTTGGGGAGAGTGAAGAAGACTGAGAAATGCAGTGTGACTAGCTGAAGAAAGGAAATATATTGCCTGCAAGCACTGCCCTTGGGAAAGATAATTCTGTTGGCAGGAAGAAGAGGTGTAAGATCTCAAGGAGAAAGAATTGTCTTATCTAACACAAAAATGTGGTAAGAATTTGAGGAAAGAAGAGGTCAGTTCAGACAAGCAGGATCACTGCTATGATTTCTCACCTTCTCCAGCAAGCTGCACCTCCCTGGCCCTCCAGAATCATCTTCCAGGGAATAAAATACCCAGAATTGATATTGTTTGGTAGCAAAAGGTTACATACCACTCATTCTCTACGTGGTTACAAGTTGGTGGAAGATTTATATGAAATCCTTAGTATCTTAGCATTTCCAAATGTGAAGGTTTTCCTGATTACTATTTAATTTTCCATTTATGTATTTATCTTCTTTACAAACATTGCAAACACTAGATCTATTTTAAATTATATGTCTTTGGCCTCTGGTGAATATTCTTAGCCCTTGGTATAGTGCATTTATATGTAGAATAAATATTTGTAGAATTTAGCAGATGCTTTGAGGATCTGATTAGACATTCTGAGCTTTGGATCCTATTTATCCTAAGTAACTGTGGAGTATAGTATTCCCTTATAATCCTTTTTATTTCTCTAAGGTTGATAGTAATGTCACCTTGTTCATTTCTGATTTTAGTAACTTGAGTCTCTTTGTTTTTCTTGATCAATATAGTGAAAAGTTTGTCAATTTTGTTGGTCTTTTTAAAGAATCAACTTTTTAAAAAAATTTTCTATTCTCTACACTGTCTTCTCACTTCTCGACTATACTCTTATCCAACATTACACATTTATGACAATAGTAAAAAAACTACTATCCAACCATTTTGCTCACAATGACGTATGTCGGGCAGTAATGAATGCCAGGGTGCAAGGCGAGGGTAATGCTGGCTTTGATTATTAAGGTTGTGTCAACTTGATTGGGCCATGGTTTGGCAGTTATGTAATGATGTAATTTGGCACTTAGGTAACAACGTAGTCATCTTCCATTTTGTGATCTGATGTGATCATCCTCCATTTTCACATAACGCGGATTTCACATAACAACCTGGTCTTTGGAACCTAACCATGTTGATAAGTGAGGAATGGGTGTATTTCAAATATTTCTGCTCATTTTCTTTCTTCCGCTTGCTTTGAGCTTAGTTTCTTCTTTTTCTGGTTACTTACAGTGGAAGGTTACGTTATTGATTTGAGATCTATAAATTTCCCTCTAACCACTGCTTTCACTGCATCTCATAAGTTTCAGTATGTCATGTTTTTGTTTTCATTTATCTCAAAGTATTTTTAATTTCCCATGTGATTTATTCTTTGACTCATTGGTTATTTAGAAGTATGGTTTTTAATTTCCACATATTTGTGAATTTCCCAAATTTCCTTCTGTTATTGATTTCTAATTTCATCCCTCTGAGCTTGGAGAAGGGAACCCTGGTGGCACAGTGGTTAAAAGTGCTCAACTGCTAACCAAAAGGTTGGCAGTTCAAAACCACCAGTAGCTCCACGGGAGAAAGATTACTGCTGTAAGAAGTGGTCACAGTGTTGACAACCGGAGCAGGGAACTGGGGAGCCAAATGAGTCCACCTGATATCATGATGTAGGGCAATGCTGGTAAGGCAGTATTCAACCTTTTACTCCTTATTCCTCTGTTTAACTTGTTATCCTGTTATTTCCTATTGTTTGTTATTCAGCCTGTGTCCTAGATACATGAAATAAGAAGGTAATCTCAAACGTTGAAAATCAAATTTTGGTCACATGGGATAAAAGATGTGTATGTGCTGAAAATACAGCCATTAGTTCTTCACTTTTAAGCAATTTAATTATTTCTATTGTTGTTTCTAGGCAGAAGAAATCCTTAGGCAAGAGCTGGAGAAAAAAGAAACACCAAGTTTATACTGCTTGCTTGGAGATGTCCTTCGTGACCACTCTTACTATGACAAGGCCTGGGAGTTGTCCCGACATCGCAGTGCTAGGGCTCAGCGCTCCAAAGGCCTCCTTCATCTTCGAAACAGGGAGTTTAAAGACTGTGTGGAGTGCTTTGAACGCTCATTGAAGATTAATCCCATACAGGTTAGAGAATACATAAAATTGACCTTCTCTTAGCACTTACTTTTCCTGGGGTTTGCTTCTTACTGAATGAGTAATGGCTGGTGAGCTTCTCTTTGAGAACTAAGACCTTAACTCATAGTTCCTTGCTTTAACTTCTCTGTCTCATTTTATTTCTGTTCTGTCAACTCAAGTACAACTTTTAAAATTAGATATCATTGCTGAACTCAATAATGAAATAGAAATCTTTATATAAATAGACAGCATAGAATATATTGTTGATTATTTTAGGAGAAAAATTGTATGTTTACATACACACAAATATTTTTAAATTAAAAAAAATTTTTTTTTAAAGTTTTAAGAACAATACAAAAAGGGCCTGAATCTTTAATTGACATAATAAACTCACAGAAGAGGACCTAATTTTGAGGGGAAAGAAATCCAGTTTGTACCCTCAGGTATAATCTAGTGAAACAACCGCAGACAAAACTAGATAGCAATACCAGGCATCAAAGAAATACCAAGTGAGCTATTCGTAAAACGCTAGTTATATAATGGCCAAAGAGAACATTTCTAGCTTTGATAGGCAATGAAGAGAGGAAGTTAAATTCGGATTTGAAGGACAAGTAGTACTTGAGTAGGTGAAGGACAGCAGTGAGAGCATTCCTGGGAGTGAGCAGTGTGAGCAAAGCCCTGGAAGCAGATAGAGAATATGGTGTGTGTGTTTGTGTGTTTAGGGGAAACGATGGGACTAGTGAACAGGCTAGTTTGGCAGAGTGAAAAGGAATAGGACAGTTACAGTGGGAAAACTAGACTGGAGCCAGATTATGAAGGGTCTTAAATGTGAGGCTAAAACTTGAAGTTTTTATTTGGCACATAGGGAGCCATTGAAGGGATGATTGGTTTTTGGCTTTGTTTTAAATGAAGAAATGTGGTGTGCAAGGAGGTAATTTAGGAACATTGTTTTGGCAACACCACGGCCGTGGGGAAAACTAGAGGTAGGCAGAGTTAGGAGACTGTCGCAATAATCTAGCCATGACAGTTGTTATTGCAGGAAGGGCAATAGGAAGAAAGGGATGGATGTGAGGGAAGTTGTAAGAGAGGACTTAACAGGGCTTGATGGTCTCATTATATAATTTTGAACTAATCATTTAGAGAGACAAAAAAAAAAAATTGCTCAAAGCAGAGTCACAGTACAAACAGATGTTATATGAGGATATTTTGCAGTTTGTCATATGGATTCAATTCAGGCAAACCATAAGCCATGTCAAAATATACAGGCATTTGATGCTACAGTTGTACAGAACTACTACAAAATGCAAACTTGGACACTATAAACCTATTTTAACTTGTGATCCAAGTCTGAACTATCTTTGAAGAAGGAGAGTTCCTATGTGCTATGTAGTTTTAAGTGTTGGAATAAAGGAAAAATAGAAAAATGGAGTTTAAAAAATTCTGTCCTGTTTTTACATATATATCCAGGCTATACCTATGGGGAATGAAAGCAGAGCTATCCTGCCATAAAACACAAGAAGAGTAGTCTAAATGGAGGCAAAAAAGACATAACTAAGAAAATATTTATGTTTCAAAATTTAAAAAGCTCAGCACCTTTAGAGAGAGAGTATTTTCTCAATTATAATGATTATGGCCTGCAGAAGAGTCCATCAGAAATTTCAACAATTTCAAATTTATTAACAATAAATTTGGCAATTAATAATAAAGCAACTCTGAAGTAAAAAAAAAGTTCCTGTCGATTCCGACTCATAGCGATCTTACAAGACAAAGTAGAACTGCCCCATAGAGTTTCCAAGGAGCATCTGGTGGATTCAGATTGCCGACCTTTTGGTTAGCAGCCGAGCTCTTAACCACTGCACCACCAGGGCTCCAACTTTGAAATAGATTACAGATAATTTTATGAAAAAGTTAAAAATTCTAAGATCATATTGAAAAACTATATTCATCAGAAAAATACCGATGGCATAGTATTAGAATTATATATGGCTAAGAAACTGATTAAAGTACATGAAGATTTACTAAGAAAAACTAATTTAATTCTGTAGTATATTACAAAGTACAAATATCATAAGCTAATTAATGTTCCCTTTGTTATATTTTAATATTCAGGTAACATTTAAAGATATCTCTCTGAATATTAAGGCATTATTGCAAATATAAAATGAAAAATAATTACAGTTTATTGCTTCTTACAGACAAATATTTTTTTAAAGAAATTATTTTTGGAAGTGGTTTTTGAATAGAAGGGGATACAGTAAAAGCAATTTGTTGCTCGATAAAAGTTTTTTTTTAAATCATGTAATTTTAATTATTTTTCATGCCCTGTTTCACTTTTGGAAGTGTTGTACTTTGGACAGTACCTTACATGGTGGCCTAATTGAGTATTATCGGGTACCTGCTGTGACCAGACATGGATGTGGGAATGAATTAGGCTGCTCATCCTGTTAGCAAGGACCACAGTTTCTGCTGGGAAATGATATGGGTAGAAATAGCTTTGTGAAGAGCCTTAAATAACCTTCTAGAAGGTTATCTAACCCTATAGACTTAAGCATCCCTTGTGGTTTTGCGTAAAAACTTTTGTGGCAAAAGTGGTATTATAAGAAGTCTAAATAAGGAATGATTGTCGTAGATGGGTGATCTGTGACTTTAGCAGTGAGGTTGGACTAGATAGAGCAGACTGAAGCCTCATTATGAAGGAAAATTTTCTGGAACTTATTGAGCTGGCAGGATTGAAGAAGAGCTTGGAATCAGCAAGGATACCAACTTTCTCAGTTGCCTGACTGAAAGGAAAAATATCTGTTATGGATTGAAATGTGTCCTCCCCAAAATATATGTTGAAATTTTAACACCTGTACCTGTGAATGTGCTCCTGTTTGGAAATAGGGGTTTTTCTCTAGTTATGTTAGTAAGGTTGTACTGAGTAGGGTAGATCCTAAACTTAATCCCTTCTGAGTGATGTCTTACAAAAATTGAGTGTCACACAGGGAGTAGAGAGATGTCATGTGATGATGGAGACAGATACATCTATAAAGTAGCAAAGCAACGCCAAGGATTGCTAGCAGTCACCAGAAACTTGGAGAGAGACTCACAGAAGGAATTGACATAGCTGAGACCCTGATTTGGACTTTTAGCCTCCAGAGCTATAAGAAAATTAATTTCTGTTCTTTAAAGCCACTCACTTTGTAATTTTTTATTATTGGCAGATTTGGGAAACTAAGGACAATGTCCCTATAGACAGACATAGGGAATTCAGGAGAAGGGGAAAGTATCTCTTGCAGGGGAAGGTGATATAATTTTGGATGTTGAGTGTGAAGCGATGATGCTATATCTAAGCAGAGATGGCCAATAGGCAGATGGACATAAAAACTTGAAGCTCAATAGCGAGATCAGAACTGAACATGCCAATTGGAGGTTTTCTGTGGGAAGTGAGTTGAAGCCATACAGTGAATGGATTCTTTACTGGAAACTCTGTCAGAAGAGAAAGCCAGAAGAAGTCCTAAACTTTGAGCATCTCCGGCAGTAGGAGGAAGGTAGAAGAAATGGTACCAGTGAAATATGAAACAAACTAAGAACATCAGAGTTTTGGTTAGAGGGATAGTAGGAAACCCAAAGGAAGGGGTTCATGGAAACTTAAACAAAAAAAAAAAAACCCATTACCATCGAGTCGATTCTGAAGAATGAGTGTCAGTGAGTAATGTCACATGTTGTAGTGATAAAGTCCAAAGAGGGCTAAGAAGAGGTCATTGGATTTGGAACTCACCAGTGACCTTCAAAAGCATTCTCAGATTCAGGAGGTTAAAGAGTAGCAGATGAGGAAACGGATGTCATGTTTATAAACTGTTCATTTTAGGAGTGTGTTAGAGAGATGAGAGTCACAGTATGGAGTATTGTACTCTGAGAGGGCAGAAGAATCAAGTAAAACTTTCCAGATACTGGAGACCTTTTATATGGTTGAAGGCAGAAGAGAAGGACTCCAGTGAATAAAGGAGAGATTGGTTGGATCCAGTGGATAAAGGAGGAGGGAAGATAACTAAGGGAATATCCTTCTAGAAGAGAGTAGAATGAGAAGAGGTAAAGGTATAAGCTATGGAAATGAGGAGTAATATTTGTAATGAGACTGGAAAGAAGATGAGAGTATTAATATTATAATACCATTTTCTGTTTACTAAGCATGTTCTGTAGGGTTGCTGTGAGTCAGAATCAACTCTATGGCAATGGGGTTTTTATATTCTAAGCTAGAATGTAAGTATGAACTCTTTGTAAACCATTTTGAGGTATTGAGGGAGATGGAAAAGAGTTATATTAAGACATGGAGTCTTTCCTTCTTGTGATTTATATGGGCTAAATGGAGAAATTATGCTGTTGGCGAAGATTATAGAATATACCATGGACTTTCAAAAGGACGAACAAATCTGTCTCGGAAGAAGTACAGCCAGAACACTCCTTAGAGGCAAGGATGGTGAGACTCAGTCTCACGTACTTTGGATATGTTATTAGGAGAGACCAGTCCCTGGAGAAGGACATCATGCTTGATAAAGTAGAGGGTCAATGAAAAAGAGGAAGACCCTTAATGAGATGGATTGACACAGTAGCTACAACAATGGGTTCAAACACAGCAACGATTATGAAGATGGCTCAGGACCAGGCAGTGTTTTGTTTTGTTGTACATGGGGTCACTATGAATTGGAACACACTCAACAGCACCTAACAGCAACAACAACGAATGGAGAAAGGAAATATATACAAACAACTTTATATGTGGCAAAGGGGCAGAGTAAATAGAAAATGTGTTTTGAGTGTCTAGTGATAGCCTGATGAATGAGGATGTGAATAGTTAGAAAAGGCCTAAGGGAGAAGTGCATACTCATGTGGACTAGGAGGAATGGTTGGGATTTGGATAGGAGGAAAAATTGGGAAAAAGTATCTAGAAAGGAGACTAACAGATGCAAAAACCAGCCATGTATAGAGCAAGGGTTTCATGGTAACCATTGATATTAATTGTTTATTTT